TGGCCGCAGGGGGCCGGGCAACGGCCGTGCCCAAAAGGTAGGTGGTCGCCAGTCTGTGCAAAGCCTTTCCTTGAAAGGCTCAGCACCAGCGTCCCTGGTCTGTAAGCGAAGTTCTGGGGCAGGAAGGGTCGTTTGTAACTTTTTTTTTTTGATGCGAGAGATGGAATTCGTCGGCCAAGAAAACAGCTGGTGGTACATAGTTCTTAGTCGCTTTCCGGCTTTGAGAGTGCATCACCGTCCCATTGAAGAGTGCGGTAGCATTTGTATTAATGATTGCAGTTAACTATAGGAGATCTACAGGATCGCTGTTTTTTTCCTTAACGTGCTTTCAGATTGTCCCAAAAATCACCTCAACCACCGTCAGAGGTTTGAATTGAGTTTTTTTCAAAGTAGCCAAAGACTGGGTTATTTAAATGCAAAGACGCAAAAGGTATGTTTGAATCTCTTAACAGATCTTTATCAGTCTGGCGTTTTCAAAGAACTTTAAATGCAAGCTGATATTTTTCTTTTTTCTGTGAAAAACTAGCATTAACATGTTCTTTTTCTGTCTTGGATTTCATAGCAAAGATGCTGAGCTTCTTCCGTCGAACCCTTGGACGGCGGTCTATGCGTAAGCATGCGGAGAAGGAACGGCTAAGAGAGGCCCAAAGAGCTGCAACCCACATCCCTGCAGCTGGGGATGCAAAATCCATCATTACTTGCCGAGTAGCACTGCTGGATGGAACAGATGTCAGCGTAGACTTACCGGTAGGAGTAACAAGAGTTTGTTTCATAAATACCCTTGGCTTGTGTCAATCTCGATCGTGATTTTTGCTGTTTGCAAGTTAGGTAAAGGCTTGTCTATTTGTCGTAGCAACCGACCCTGGGACTTGATGTCCACTAAGTTACTGGTCATAAAAAAGTACTGAAGGTATAGTTAACTTTGTTCATTGACACTAGAGAGTGTTTTGTTAGATGTTATTGTGCCTTATACGTTAAGCGTTAGTGTAGTTGTTGTGCTAAGGCTTGACTTAAAGAGGGTAACTTTTCAGATGAATTGTGGTTTTTTTCTTGGTGAGCTACATATGCATCTTGAGAAGGAAGGTGAATCTCTTGGTGTAATTCTGTTGAAGAGGATGGATGAGCAGTAATTTGTGTGGGGGTTTTGTTTGTTTTGATTTTGCGTCAGAGATGGATGCAGTTTTTAGCGCCAGCTTGAGAGGGGAGGTAAAGAGAAGAATTCTACTTCCTTCCCCTCCTCAGGGCAGATTATATAGCAGGGATTGTCTCATAGCACAGTGCTTTGTTGGGAGTGAGGTGTTAGCCACTGCTTTACATTTCTAAAGCTCCCTTAATATACACGTGTCTTGTTCTGCTCTGCTTAATTATATACCTGGTTTTGGCCGACAGGATGAACAGTAGCAATAGAAGGGATGTGCTCTGTTTTTCCACGTTCATGTGTTATAGTTGTTAGTGACTTGTTTTGGGCTCACATAGCTGAGTTAACAAGCTGTGGGTCTGCAAGACCTTCTGACTAGTTCGGTAGGATTTTGGCTGCAATAACAGTTGCACTGACGTTGGAGCTGCTGGCTAGAAAGAGAGTGTGGAGCAGCCATTCTTGAAACGGCTTTTCTTTCTTCCCTTTCTTATTTTAAGCACAATTATAGAGTGGTTTAGTGTTAGGTAGTCTGAGGAAGGCTTGAATTGTTAGAGTATTGAGGGGTGTTGCAGGCACAGTGAGTGGAAATAATGCCTGTGATATCCAGAACCCCAAGTAATTTAGAGTTGAAGAAACAGTTTGGCATCTTTATTTGCAAAATGACTATACAGATAGGCGTTTATAGAGGGCAGTAAAACTAATTTGTACGTCTCTGAAACAATGTAGTGAACATATCCAGTGCTGCTTAGTGCCTAGGATGTTTGATTCGAGGACACGAATGCCCACAAACACTTTATAGCAAGAGTTACACTTAAAAAGTACTCAAGTTTAAATTGGTGTCTCCACATAACCAGAGCAGTAATCTTTGGAGCTGGAGTTGGCTCTGTAGGCAAATTCCTGGCGCCTCTAACAACATTTCTAAGGCTTTGAGGAGCATAAATTGAACCTGAAGAGGTGTCATGACCTGCCATCTGGACTATAAAACTTAGATCAGGGTGCGCTAGTAACTATTTATTTCTATGGAAAACTTTTTTCACTCTTGCTTTTTTCTTTATAAGTCAACATAAAGCCTTGTCTGTGGACATCTTAAGTTACAAGTAACAGTAAACAAACACAAGAAATGAACATAGCTAGATGCAGTAATTGCAGTTCATCAGCAGTGGCTGATATGTACAGTTCCTCTGATGATTAAAATACAATAAATTAAAAGTAGATTGAATGTTTCATTTCAGACTCCTTAATGTGTTTATTCTTGTGTCTTCATTTGCATTGTTCCTATTTTGGGGTTGACTCTTGAAAGAAAAAAGCGGGGGAAGACAGGATGGAGAGGAGTTTTTTTTTTCTTTTACAAAAATTTTCCTTGAGAACTGTTGTCCTCTTTGAGCTAACACCTTTTCCAAGGCTGATTCTGTTGCTTTGCTGGCTGTAGATTTGGTTTAAAATGAACTCTTGTTATCTCAGCAAGGTGCCCTCCGGTCTGCCAGTTCAGTTGTGTGTAGTCCCATTGTCTACCTAAGTTCTGTGAAATTGTTTTATTAAAAAAAAATAAATAACAGAAAGTATTTCTTAAGAGTGAATCACTTAGCAAACAGGTTAGTTCACGGCCAGGGAAAG